GAGTGATACGGGGTGGAAACGGGGTAGTGCGGAGACGCTTAGAACCGGGTGGCGTTCGGTAAAGAGAATGAGTCTCTCTCTCTCTCTCTCTTTCCTTTGGAAAACGCACATATATATATATATATCGTTGGGAAATTACGCAGCGACGCGCTAAATAATTGCCGGCATGAATGCGACAAGTGTAATTTATGTTCCATTCAATTTAGATGCGGCACCGTAAACGGAAATGAGACAGACAAGACGGTGCAAAGACACAGCATGTACCGTTGTAAAATAATCATTCGAGATACTTTTTCTTGTTTTTACGAAATGAGAGAACTCTTTCTCTGGTTGATCGCTTAATGATTAAACAATTATGACTCTATTCCATCTTATCTGCCGATCTAGTCTAGTCTAGTCTAGTTTACGATATTTTATTCAATTAAAATATGATTTTAGACGTATGTAACAAAATTATCAAGAAATTTAGAGATATATGGTGAATTAAGAGTCATAATTAATTGAACATTATTTATTGTATGAATGAAAATTAATGAATGGCGAACGCATAGTTTATGAGAGTGAAATATTCAATAATTCTGATAATACATAAGAGATAATAGGGAGACAAGATTATCGAATTGAACGTTGCTTAATGAAATAGCAGAAATTTGCAATGTCTCCGTTTACCATGTGAACATACGTCACTGGACGGCTAAATTTGATTTCCCCCGCGATATTTACGCGGAGTGACATGCATCCGAGCAAATTGAGTCGTGAACGGTTAACGAAAACCGGATATCCGAGAACGTCCGCGATGAACGGATGTATAATAGATTCTTTTTGCTTCCACTCTTAGACACGACGTTATCCCGCATTTCTCTTCCGTTTTCAATTACGATGCTGCGATGCAGCGTCATGCGCTCGTTAGAGAAATGCAGAGAAAAATTCACCGCTAATTAAATGCACATTGAGCTATCCACGTTGCGTTACACCGTCGCGAGTTTCATCCTTTTCACGTTGTACATTTTGCACGCTTTTTATACAAGTTGCCTCGCAAATTTTAAATGCAGGGAATTAATTCAGTATCTCATTTGTCATGGTCTACTTAATACATGATCTAAAGACTCGCGGTTGGTATTGCGATCGTTTTAAACATGCGACGCAAGTGACTCGAGCTCGGTGAATTTTTCATAATTGTACAGTCAAAAATTTTATTGCGCATCACGTTTCGCGAGAAAAATACTTTTACGAAGTCTCCCAGGAATTTCCATCAAATTTTTCATTCCAACATATAAATAGACACTCCATAATAGTTTCACTTCAATCTCGCGTTTAATATTTTTTATTAACTCATGTAATTCTACTGAAGCATCAATATGCAATCCACTATTAATACCAGTCATGAGATGCTCTTTCGGAAAATTTTCTTCCCCTAGAAAATTTTCTAGGAGGAACCTACAACACAAGGTCCGCTTAAAAATTAATTACTTAGCGCTCGAGTTTACCTTCGCGCTAAATGGTGGCGCCTTAATGCGCTTCGTTTATAAACCCCATCGAGAATAGCTTAAGATCGATCAGCGCGTTGCCTCGACTCATCGGTTTTCCTTCTATCGTTTCTTTCTCGCGCCGG